AAAGACGTCAAAGAACATAGACTTGGCCATCTCCATGTCCACACCCGGCCGAAGTGACCATATAGCGGTTATGTGAGCTTTTTCATAAGTGTTTGTTTTACGGCCTCTGGAACAACGAAAATGTAACATTTGGCGGGGTGACTTTAACCAAACCAGTACAGAATCATTGGACCTCAAGTAGTACACAAGACTTACGACAATGCCACTGAAGATTGGTAATTGTTAAGGAATGTCCTTCTGCATTTCATCATAAACCACTGCCCCTTAAGGCTGTAAAACAGAACAAGAGGTCTGGCTGGCAGAGTAGCAATCGAGAAAGAAAAGCGGCGAGACCCACAAACTGGCATCTAACACATTTTTGAACTGGCAACCTCGGCCAACCTCCGACGTCCACTGGCAAAACTTCGTGTGCAAAAGTCAAGGCTGGGTGTGCGAACGTTCATCTTCTCCGGCAGGGTGGTCAAACAATGGAACGTCCCCTGCGGCTGCTGTGATATCACCATCGGCGGAAAACTTTAGAAGAAGCCTTGACAGATTTGTGTTCCTAAGTTAGCTGGGACGACGAACGACCGTACTCAACCCCTGACCCTTATATTGAGATTTCAATATTTTGATGGTCTTTTTTGAGACATTTCAATCTACATGGTTTCTTTGAGCACTGCACCAAATCTTTTCGACTTAAATAGGGAATTCAAGAAGCCCTTTTTATTTCCCTCCATAAACTGATCTAAACTGGAGGAGGTCGGCTATTCTACTTCCTTTTTAAACTTTCACCGACAGTTTATTATTTAACTCCCTCCTGTTTGTGCTTCCCGGTCACACACTTCTTCTCTGGGTCAAGTTTCACTCAGATCAATTACATCGATGTGGTTTTTATAGCCAACTTTTGTTCGTACAGCTTAATTGCGCGACGATAAGGGCTTCAGAAAAAAACTTACTCATACTGTTGACTGTTGAAAGGTCACCGACTGCATATCCCTTCTTGTCTGAGCTATTAGACTCTGAAGAGGCCTCTTCTGCCATATAATCTGTCCCAAAAGCATTATCTTTTGTTCTTCTTAAAACAGGGACATAAAGCGGATCTACAATTTTGGTAGGCGTATATCAGAGCACTATGATAGCTTCTACCGACCATTGCTGACTATGTAAGCAATGCGTCGGAAGTCGATACGTGACCTAGCTACATCGCCATCCTGCACAAACGGTAATCTACGCCTTGCGGATTTTTTTGCCAGCATCAAACTTAAGTCAGGAAAAAAGACTTGATGTCCCGCCTAACCATTTTCTCGTGGTGGATTTTGTATGGCAGTAGCCTAACTTCTACTTTCAACTTCACGCCATCTCAATTTAACCAGTGTCTGCAAAGGTCGATTTCTGCCAATAACCGGCAGTTGCCATGCTTTCACGCATATGTATGTACCTTCGTAATAGTTTGACTCTGGTTAAGCGTTTGCTACCTACTACCATTATACTCATAGCGAGTACCAATAAAGTATGGTTTAGCGTGGACAATTTTAGCTCAAAAATCTTTTAACCATATTCAGCAGTTTATTCCAGTTTCATCCTTCTCCTTAAGGCCATCGTTCTGGATGCCTAAATAGAGGTCAGTACGGACACCGGCACGTTGACACCGCTGGGCACCCTGTGGCGGCTAGCTATCAGGACTGGTCCGTTGTCATTGTTCAAGACCTCGCTGCCTCAAGGTCATTCACCCCTTTCAGCGAGCCGTCCCAGACGACCTGACATGAAGCCACCCGACCGACTTCAGCTCGGACACAATTACGTCCACAAAGCTTCGCGGCTACGCATGCGCCACTTGAACGCGCCACCCCCTGCAACCAGCATAACAAGCCACTGTGACATCACCCCTCGGCAAATGCAACACACGTTGACTGGACACCACTTGAGCTTGGCCCACGAGCCTACAAAAGCGACTGCCACCACTATTTCAGGAACTCTCAGGCATGACTGGACGCAGTCAACACCAGCCCTGGCTTCGCCAGTGGCCACTGTCGCCTGAGAGGACAACTCTGGGTTCTGTTCACAATAAACCCCTCATTCTGGTGCATTCCGTCTTATGCTTACGACTTGAGATCTGACATGGTGGTTGTAGCGCTCAGAACACTTACAGTACCTGTGCTAACTCATGAAATGTCACGAATTAACACAGGTTAACGCCTTTAACGCAAAATCGGTAAACACTACGGCTACCAAAGTCTGATAGCGGAAAATAAACGATGTGCCCAAGAAATAAAGCAAAGTTTGGTTAAGAAAATATTATTTACTGAGATAAAAATAAATAATTTTCGACAAAAGTCACATTTTCGAGAAACGCCTATATTACAACCAAGTTAATAAAGGCTACGTATGAGGACGTATAAAGGAGGAGGGCGCATAAAAGGTCAAAAATAATTAAGGACAGAAACAGATACAAAAAATCAGTACTTTGTAGATTGTCCATTCGAATTAATAACAGCAGAAAGTCTGTATTCTTACTGTTGTGCCGCTCCTACCGCCAGCAATAGCAGTGGGGTTTATGGTTTCCGAGAGCCTTATTATGAGCAGCATCATCGCCACACCAGTACAAGCCGCAATATGGCTACGCTGGCCGGTAAGAACGTTTAAAATGTTTTCAGTGTCGCCTTGCCATAATCTCTTTGATACCGTACAGCAACCTTGCACGGCGATGGCAATCGTTTTGACGTAGATAATCTTGCTCATGCAAAAAAAATTTACTACCTAAACCAATCTCTGAGGTCATCCGTCAAAACTACGCACTTATCAGGCGAGACTAGACGGACGAAAGTTATCCTCCTCCGTCAGAGTGCTAAAACCATGAAATGGTCACCCCGCAGACGTTGCGATTTCACCACCGATAGAAATCATTAAAAGGAATCTTGACATGACGGCACAGATAGGATACTCAAAAGAGCACGTTTATTTCAGTCAATAAAATAAACTGAGCTGAAATGTTCGAACTCACCAGCCTTTGCTCTGCATTTGCAACTATCGTTGGCTTAAATTGTTATATATTTGACGATCTTCGTAGCATCCTGCCCAGGTATCATGACTGTTTGCTGTAATGAACAAAAGGGAAGTAATCAGAAGACGAGGTGCGAGCATGCGTAGCTTTCGATAAATTCTCGTCGGGTCGGTACAATTATATGGTAAGGGGGTAGAAGCAAAGACAAGGCAGTGGTAAGATAAATCGATTAAAGTTCGCCTTAAAACACAGGCTAGGTGTAGGAATGTGGGGGAGGTGGGTATTCGCAGTCAGTGTCAGGGGCGGGGTGGGAGCGGAAGAGCGCGGCAGCGTTGTAGCGTTAATCGACCTTCGACCACTGTAGGCACGGCGCCTGAATGTGGTTCTTCTGGAAGCACAAGATTGGTTTTCGCAACCAGATGGCGGCCGCCTTTGCTTTTGCTAACAGGCGCTGTTCCAGTGGTTTAGGGCATCTCGATGGTACTTTATAGATCACACTAAACGCTTCATTGGGGTCTACATGATGCCCGAAATCGACAGCATGTGCGAGAATGCGCTGCTTATGCTCCTAGTTTCGCCTTTTCCCAGCCATGCTGGGAGGTTTTCCCGTATTCTCTTGCATAAGCGCCGACTCGTGCGACCAATATAACCTGCTCCACAGGAGCAAGTGAAGGAATAAATGCACATTGAAATGGTCTGAGGTGGCAGCTTATCCTTACCTTCTCGCGTTAAATGAAGTAAGTAGAGAAGGATACTTGAACCCTTACCTCTGGGAAGGAACGCGAAACAGCCTGATCAGGGCGGTTCTTTAGGAGTTCACTCGCAGCGTTCCCTTGGAAAGGGACTTTAAGTAACAGAGTTTTGTTTTCAGCGGTCGGTGTTGCGGGTTTTACCGGTTGTTCGGCCATATTTTTTGCAATAAACCTGTCCGGGTATTCGTTTTCACGAAGGAAGTCCTTGGTTTTTCTATGTTTCTCCTCGATGCAATCGGTAGAGCAAATTTTTCTAGCTCTTTTCGCCAAACCTCGGATAGTGACCTCGAACACCTCCGACCAGTCGGCGCACGTATCCCTCGAATATATGGTCTACCTAAGATGCATATGGAAAGCTTCTACCCCCTTCCCATATGATCGTACCGGCCCGACGAGAATTTATCGACAGCTACGTATGCTCGCCACCTCGTCTTCTGATTACTGCAATGGGAATTTTCGCAACAATAAAAGGGACGTAGTTTTTTGCTTTTGCTCTCAGCATACTGTCTGTAAGTCATGATCAACGGAGATATGGCACAGTGTGTAAGGCCCGTTTCCTTTTTGATGGGTAAAATTTCATAGCACCCTCTTTTCAGCCCGGAAGATACGACTAGACTCCAACGGTGAAATGAATAGTCTTCCGTAAATGTTAAATGACTATCGGAAGAAATTCCGAGTTTGATAAGTGCAACTTTGTTCAGGTCTCAGCGATGATCACTCTACGCGCACTCTCACATACTGTAATTGCCTGATTGTGACAAACTTTTTCTAGGTAGCATACAGCTATTTTGATCTTACCCATTCAGAAGTTCCAGTTTGTCGGCCGCTGTTAGGCGTACGCAGTATGCTCCAGAAACTGAGTTGAAGTTAGTTGACGTAGGACAAAGAAACCGACTCCCAAGTCCTTATGTCAGGTTTTTGGACATTGTTTGCTTTCAGCTGACTTTTAAATACTCGGAGAGAATGGTACCGCTTTGGAAGGTAGCCGCTAGTCTACGTATGTAAGTCTGTGACCAGTCGTTCACGCTCATGGAAAAGTCATTAAGAAATACTCTGTGAAGGGAATGATAAATGTAAAAGGCCAGAGTGTAGGTACGTTATTAACGCTCACTAGCATCTGAAAATGGTTGAGGACTTATAGGGGATTTTTAGCTTGATTTTACTAGGCTGAAATTCGGGGAGAAAAATTGAAATCGGGCTTGGTAGTAGTTTGGTGTAGGCATGATCTGCGCGTTATTCGTTCAATTCATCCCACCGTCGTAACAATGGGTGGTTCTATGTCTGTTATTGTACCAGGAATATACGTCGGCGGTCTTTCAAGCGCGAAATCGGAAGCGCAATTAGACGAAAATCACATAACGCATATATGTTCGGCCTTGCATTACCCACTGACGGTGGTATGTCCATCTTGGCCAGACTAACAAGAGTAAGGACCAGAAACGGATCCATAAGCAGTTCCTTGTCCGGGATTCTCCTGACGAAGACCTCTCAAAGTATTTTCTCACGGCGGCTGCTTTCATACACAGTGGCCGGGTTTCGGATGGTTCTGTTCTCATCCATTGGTGCGTTTATAAGCCGTTATTATAATAACCACTTTTCGACAGCGATTTGCTGTCGCCTCGGTATGAAATTGCTACAGCTGTTTTCATGATTCTTCTTCCGTGGTAACCCATATTTTCGTTTTCTCCCAACTCAGAGGTGTTTTTGAATTGCAAGTTCGAGGTATCTCAAACAGACACTTGTCTGTTAATCACCTATGGTCCTTGGTAGCAAAACAGAAAGTAAAGACTACTGCGGTGACGAATGCTAAGGTCATCGCCAGTAGTCCTTCATAATCTAAAACCCAGTGCGAATTTAAGTCAGTTTGACTGCTCATCAAACTCATGCACGTCCCAGACCTATTGCTGATAGCCTGCGGCCGTCGGGAGGGGAATCTTCGTCCCTTACTCCGCTGTCTACAAGCACTACTCCGTGTAGATGAAGGTATATCGTTAAGTCATTCAATTCCACCATTTACCTTTCGCCGGTTGTCTGACCTCGTTTGGTCGTCTCATGAGCTCCATCTTATTTATTCTAGCAAGCCAAACAGATCGATGTTTGCCAGTTATTGTGCCACTTCACATTTTGTTTTCCTATTTCTTTACGAATCACCCACTACGATTGCACAGCTATAAACAAACATGGAGGTCGTAGTTTCGACACCTCGATTGCCGTTAGCTGCTTTGGCCTGCCTTTTAGGCATTTAAAAAAGAAGGCAGGGACCCTTCTCATATCTACTGGTTGTTAATTCAAAAAGGGTGTGAACTGCATCATAGTTGGACTCAACTCCTGTCGCGACATTTCAATCGTTAGAAGTGCCCGCGCACTAGGCATTCATCCGGTCATCCCCCGTTGATGGTGACTCCCGAACTTGTATAGCGAGCGAAAACCGGGGGTTTGTCTGAGAATGACCTTTCCAGTGCAGCACACCGGTTTTATCTACTGCGGGAAAGCTCATACTCATTGCCGGGTCTCGTCGAATGGGCCGCGACCTGCGAGTTGGCGTCCTTTCTCCGTACCGTTGCCGCGTGTTCGGCCATTCGCGTTCGGAGCAGTCTTCCAGTTTCGCTGACGTAGTTGCTTTGTCCGCAACGCAAATACTGAACTTCAACAGTAACCGCCCAATCAGCCACAAACGCAGTTGCGTAAGAACGCTATATCGGCGTGTTGAGACGCACTGCACTGAACCGGAAGACAAGGTTGCCGAATCCCAATATCTTCGACGGATTTTCAGAGAAAATGGTTACCCGCGCAACTTCGTCGGCCGGTGTATGCGCAAACGAGACTAGAGACAGAACCGTGCCGACCTCAAATTCTGGCGAGCGATCCCGTACATCAAGAACGTCTCCGAGGCCGTTAGCCGCCTTCTTGCACCACTTGGGGTTAGAGTTGCACATAGAGCGGAGGTTACCATGAGGCGTCAGGTAATGAGACCAAAAGACCTACTGCCACGGCAGGAAATATCTGGAGTCGTTTACCGGATCTAGTGCGGTAGCGGACAAAGCAACTTCGTCAGCGAAACTGGAAGACTACTCCGAACGCGAATGGCCGAACACGCGGCAACGGTACGGAGAAAGGACGCCAACTCGCAGGTCGCGGCCCATTCGACGAGACCCGGCCACACATTCAAGTTCGATGAGGCCGAAATTTTCGCAAGAGGGGATGATCGCGTGAGCAGCGAGTCGCTTGAGTCATGGTTTATGGGACCTCAGTCTATCAAAAAGTGCAACGACATCCCCACTCCATACTCCGTGCTGAGGCATAGGCTGGCCAAGATAATTGACCACTCGGGGAGCGCGCAAGCCAGATGACCGAGCAATCATCACGCCAGCATCCAACACGGATGATGACATTTCGGCAATTAACAAATTGCATGCCGGCCATCAAGCAATTAGCGCACCAGCGGGCAGCCACTCTTGACGAAGGGGAGCGCGGTTAATTGCTATAGGTATGCGGTAGCATTGCGACTGCGTCCTATAGATACTGCGACTTCCTGTGCGCGAGTCACCCTTTTCTGCCACTGTCTCTGATAAGGGATTAAAGTGAGATTCCGAAACGTCAGGCGAATAAAGCCCTTGTTCCAGCGATCGCTTCTTCTATTGATACATCATATGGTTGGGGGCAGACAGGTCGAAGACCACCACAGGTATATCACCTACAAGTACGTTTAGTAAGGTGTCCTCTTCTTTCCTTGGGCAAAAATGATGTAATTTCAGGTTACCTCTGTGCTAAAGCCTAGTGCTATGATTCGTTAGACTTTTCAAATGTTTGCCTCGCATTTTTTCCACTTCCTTCCTTGTTTTTCTCATTCTTGTTTCTTGTTATTTCCCTAGCGCTTGTGGAATTTCCCGCAGCGTCTCTTTGACCATTGCCTATCTGCTTTGTATCACCGACTTCAGTCTAAGTGATCTCTACAAGGCTCTGCGGGCTGCTCGCATGGGAGCTTGTCCTAACACAGGATTCCTGGTATGAGATCTTTCTTTGCTCTCACTTTGTTTGGTCTTCCTGCTGGAGTCCCCGAAGTGTTGCCCTCATTGTATGAAGAGCATTCCTTTTTGTCATAGAGATCGGCCAGTTTCGTTGACGTGCACTTTGTTTCAACCATCCGTTTTAACTTGATATCTCCCCTCGATGACTTATTTCCTCTTATTTTGCCAACGTTACATACTTGCCTTGGATACCGATGGGTCTGATTAAGTCCGTTTAAGAGTATGCGACACCGCAAATCAATGCGACCCGAGCTCTACTATTAGAAGCTTGATTGGCAACTTTAGTCCAATTGATTTTTCATTCTTGGACGCAGGGCCTTCGGGTGAACCACTCCTTTTTCGCTCTGCCGGCCTGACTTCGTTAATTTATTACTTCAGTTTTCTGAGATGCCGTCGTAGGTACGTTCCGCCAACGGAATGCTCGGCTGGACTAAGACGCAGAATCTCCCCGCACTTTCGGTGGTTATTTTCGCAGGTTCATAGGCCCCACCCGTAACTCGGAGTCGCCAAATGCGCCACATCAATTTTTAGCAATGCCACCCACACTCAGGGTTCAATCATCGCCTGATCACAAAGACTTAGGGAGACAAGAGAACACGTTGCTTGCTCTTTACGTGTGGTACTCGCTTCTCTGCTGTCATTGATCCATTGCTGGCACAGGCGAACTAATTCAGTAATGTCTCGCTATATCGCACTTCGTCTTTCGTGACTCCTCTCTATTGCGGATTTTATATGCAGCCATATCTAAATGTATACATCGGATTTCTACAAGTAATAGGCCTGCTTGAACATAAGGGATATATGCCGTATAACTCTGTAAGAAATGTTTACAAGAGGGCCTAAACTACGTACAAAATAACCACAGAAGCATGGTTTTTACCTCGCGAATTTTCACTTTTGTGGGGGGTTCTGGGACGCCATCCCCGTGATCGAGGACGGGTCGCTATGTACTCTCTTGAATCTCCAAATAACATGGAGAACCAGTTCTTGAAGCTTAGTCACTGAGGCGTGCCAGCATTTAGACGACGTTCCGCTGATAGTCGTAAGGCTTCTTAAACCCAAGCATTTCCAGACGCCGGCATTGATCACAGGCACCAGCATTTTGTTTGCATCCGTTGGCAATGCCTCTACTGCATTTGGGAGCTCCGGTTACATAGAATGGGCCTCGGAGAGCATGCGCAAAGAAACAAATGTCAACCTGGTTGAGCACCCAGTAGAACATCACTGCGGAAGTTCTCTTCCACAGTAGTCCCAACCTTCCGGTATTCGGTCTCACAATGTTGCATTCTGTCATTCAACCCGTCTAACTACGCCATTGCCTGGATACTCAGAGGGGTTCTACGCAATTTGGACGGCGTAGCCTTTGCACTCGGACGCCGTTGGTCTGGCCCCGCCTACACCGACGCGATGGATTCGCTTTTGTCAAGCTCTGATGACTCACAAAGTTTAGCGTTGTGAGCTAATGAAGTTGCCTGCTCATTTGACTTGTTGACAATGCTGGGAGGTCAAGGAAGCACCTGTTTGGCTTCAAAGCTGTCGGTTGGTGCCATAAACTGTCTCGTGGAGACTTTGCTCCCAAATGGGTGGAGTATGGATGACATTGTCTTCTTCGAGATTTTGAAAGCCTTCGGAAGTAATTATGTACCTGTCGTGACATTCGCGTCGGCACAGAGATCCACATGTGCGGGGTGTCTTTCGGGTCAATTTTCCTGCACATTGTGTATGCTGAGCTGTGTGTTTGTAAGGCAAGCGAAGGCCACTGTTGCTTGAAGTATTGCGGCCTCTTTTCGAATGACGGTGTCCGTACTTCCTGAAGCATCATCCGAAGAATTAAGATGACTTTGCCGTATTCTTCGCTGCCTGTTGTATGAGTTCGGTGTGACTGACTAATTGAGTGCAACAAGGAAAATGTCAGCTCGAAACCCGTCTCACCACCTTCGGCCAAGACAAAAAAGGTCGTTCTCCGACCTGTGTTCTGTCAAACTCTCCAAATCCGTTGCCGTAGATCGTCACACGCGTGGTTTAGTCTGCGCTTTCGTTAAATCCAGTTAGATCAGGCATCTTCAGAGCCCTGCCAAGTACGGTCATTGACCAATTTCCCGAATTGTTAACTGAAATTCTGAAATGCGTTTTCGATTAGGAAAGATTACTGAAGGGAGCATAGTCTCAGAATATTTCAGTCACGCTAGGATGTCGGCTGTTGAATGCACTTATTTTCAGGCGCCTGAGGACACCGCATTCGGGAAAAGTGACTACTTATGTAGCATTAATATTTTCCATTGACTTTCGATATATTTATACATTTAAGTGTATTATATAATACACGCTCTAGTAAACCACTCCCTATACTCATTTGGTCGAAAATGACGTCTTCAAATTTCGTACTCGAAGAAAGGATATCCTCTGATTTTAAAAAGATCTTCAATTCTTGAGTAGTTCCGAACCCGATCTGCCGTTCCACCTGCGTTTAGAGTTTAGAGCCTTCAAACTGTATATTTTGCATGCAAGGAAAGTCATATATTTCTCTATACCGTTAAGAAGACACGATATAGGGTTCATGGGACTTTGCAACGAATGTTACCTGTGCCGTATGCTCCATAAGGATCCTTTATAAATGGATAAATGTGATGCTATTTGGATGGTTATTCCGCAGTCCTAAAAAGTTCCATAATTATGAACCCTTTTAAAACCCAAAGTTACCTTTTTAACATGAAATTTAAAAGCTCATTTGCCACCAAGTGCAAGGAGACATATTTTCGACAACGCTTTCTCTAAAGTCTACTTGTCTTTATAGGGACGATGAAAATCGAGAGGAAAATCACACTACTTAAGTTGCGGTTTCCACCGATCGCGGTTTTTTCAGACAACCGAAATAAAATACATTCAAAAGCCAGGACCCTGACGCGACTGGATATTTTGCGATTGTGCTGCATAATGATAGTAGTACAAGCCTACTTAAGTAGTCCATTCCATTCGGAAACACGTCTCAGAATTTTGGTTACAATTTCCTGAAGCCAGACACTGATTGTACAAGTACATGTTAGGAGCTTTTTCCCTAGTGGGCCTGAATTCGCTAAACTATTTACTTACGCCGGTTAGACCCTTATGGGCTTGCTTGCTTTTTTACCCAAACTCCACACTTCCTCCGCCTTGTAGATGCGCTCACCCCCGTCTTTACAAAGTGACTCTGTGCTTGGGGTTTTTGGAGTTCTCATGCACTACTCAACATTCTAATGCAATGCCTATTTTGTTTGATCATAACCAACTCACGCAGAACAATCACTTGATGCTCCCTCCACTTGTTGAAAATGAAGAAACCCATTTCAAGCCGTAGTGTGGGGGGAGGGGGATCCGCTGCCGTTCGTTTAGACCAAATGCCCTCGAGAGCGTCTTTTATGGTCCTTCGTCAGACTCCGTCCCGTAGATTTACTTACGTAATTTGTTCAAGCTAGTGACCACTGGAAGTGGAAAATGGTCGATCACGAAACAGTAGGGTGGGTGCCCTTGGATCAGTAAATAGCACTGCGCGCTGTCTAGGTTAACGTACTCTCCAACAAGGCACCGAGCTTGCCCAATTTTTTTCCTACTTGTAGTATTAGTCGTCTGAGCTAACCTTTTGTGGCTCTGTACTGCGCAACTGACTGACATCGGAGGCCAGGTGTTGCTTTCTTTACTCATTTTTACTCCTGTCCAAGGCTAAAAAAGTCCTTCCACCAATCAGTAAGCCGCAAATATCCTCCCTAGCGTGCACTGTTCTTTCTATCCTCTGCCAGGATGCACCTCCATGTTATTTGCCTTGACGCCTTTCAGCGCCAACTGCAGCATTTCGAGAAGACCGGTGCCCACAGGCGAGGACGGGAATTCCTTATTGCTCAGTTTGGCGACTGGCCTCCGGAGCGTGCTGCTCTAGATGCCCAAGAGATCAGCCGACTAATTGCTATTCAGGATGAGTTCATCCGCACCGGTTACTACCCGGGTGACGCGAGGGCTCCGGCAAATCTGGATGATGGCGATGCTGGAGAAGGTGCCGGTTCCACACGACCCAAACCTACCTCGTTCTTTTGCCGTCTTCCGGACAATCTGCGCACCCTTGAGGAGGCTCTCTCCGATTCCAGTAAACGGAATCATGAAGAGGACTGTCCAACCGTAGACTCTGCAGACCCCCTATCACCCACAAAACCGTAATATCTGAATTTCGCGACGCCATAGGTGATCGAATTGACTGGACGTCTAGTTAACGTTGTTTATTCCCTTCCTTCGTGCTTGCGCCAAACCTACGTCCCCACAGAGTTTGCTTCCAGATACCACCACGTCACGGGCCGTTTCACTCTTATTTTCGCTGTTAGCCATATCGCATTTACCTTAAAGCGCCTCTTTTTATTATCCGTTATTACCTTTTGGCTTTCCTGTTTCTTTTCCTCTCCTTTGGCCAACCTTCATAAAACCCGCCCCCACATTTGACTCTACTGGAGCTTCTGTTAATTGTCAGGGGGCAAATTTAGGATTAGTTCATGTCTGCGTCAGCACAGCTATTTCAAAAATTAAATTAATCGAGCAAAGTAGGAGCTGTACGGAGACCGCACCTGTGCAGCTGAATGTCTTAGCCCTTTTTCGAGAAGATGTGTGGATGTACTCGTATCGGTGAATCCACCAAGTTTGGTTGCGGCGCACGCCTGTGCGCAGTTATTGGGAGAATGGAAAGTGCAACTTCGCACGATGTGTGTTGAGCGCGTGGGGGAACTACACTAGCAGTTGGAGGCGTGACCGTCGCTTTCTGGAAGTCACAATCAAGCAACCGGGAAGCCCTTGTTGTTTTAAGTTCATCTCGAAGATTACCCTCTATTCTTCGGTTAAACTGACATCTAGTTGCGGACACCGTTAATCAGCATCACTTTTTCGACTGAAGCAATGGGGTTCTTATTTTCTCGTCCAATGCGCACGGTGGACAGCGTGTAGCCTCTCCCCCCCCCCTCGTCTCTGTAGATTACAAGGGTAACTTACCTGCCCTTGAATGCTCGCAGTCATTTATTTGTTGTTCTCTCGCACTTTCTTGTTATCGGATGCGCCAGTGTATCTATCGGCATCAGGGCCCCCACTGAGTTTACTGGCAGGAACTACCCTTAGAACATGAGTAGCATCTGATAGTTGCTGGCGAATGAGCAGTTAGTTCACCAGAGTGTCTACATCGCGTTAGCTCTCTATACACTCGGGTTTGCCGAAGATGCGAGTTCCGGGGACCAGTTGATAAGAAGTAGACGCGATCGCCGGGACAAGGGCTTTATTCGCTTGGCGTTTCGGCCGCTCGCCTGAGCCCATCATCAGGGAGTGCCAGTGACTTACACGGGATCTGGCACTCGTAGAGTCATGAACTATGTCCTATGTGACACTCGCGGACGGGTTGTTTTTTCTGGTCGAACATTGTGCCTACGTCAGCCCCCGGTCATCACGGGACGCTGTGGATGCGAGAGGAGAGGACAAAGCATCGGCGAAGACGATGATGTCTTTTCCACAGATCCCTCTCTACTCAGATATGTCTGGTAGCAGTTTCCACTGCTTCCGTGGTCTTATCCATGGCCAGTCGTCAGTCCATTGAAACACGCCCTTGGCAGTATTTAAAATAAATCATTGGTATTTGCCAAGTCGCATCGAAAAAAAGTCAAATAGCACGCTTGTACGTGGGGTATTTGGACAGTTTGCCCGGTATTTCACGAAATATCGGCCCGATGGATGACTTTTCTTCTCCGTCGGAGGACCGCCGTTGTTGGGCATTAACTTTCAGCGTGGTTCTTTTTTGGGGTGGGAGGGGGGCGGGGAGAAGCCGGCCACCTTCCTTTGCTCCAAAGAAATGCGAAACGTAGTTCTGCATATGCATGTATGGAGGACCGCCGATAGTTAGTGCCTTAGTGACTTTTCTTTGCCAATATAAACGAAGAGACGAGTCCCAGGAAGCAGTCTTGAAGAAGGAGACACGATCGCTAGGACGGGAGCTTTATTAGCCTGAAGTTTCGGATTCCTGCTCGAACCCATCATCAGAGAAAAAAGCAGATACGGGTGGTTCATGCACAAGGGTCTGCAGTATTTATAGGATGTAGTCGCCATGCTACCGGATACTTATGAATATTCACGTCTCCCCCCTTCATCAGGGACCGTTGCACGTGGCGTGATGGCCGACATTCGCGTCGTTAATTGCCGCAATTTCATCACGTGCGTTGGATGTTGTTGTGGTGATTGCTCGGCCATCTGACCCACAGCCCCTGGTGTTGAGAAAAGTGTTTGCCTATCCGCTCCCCGCGTAACTAATTACTCTCCGCCTAGGCGAAGTCTCAACACCGAGAATGGAATGGGAAGATCATTGCACTTGTTAATGGACTGGGGACCAGTAAACAATGACTCAAGCAGCTCCCGGCTCCCTCGGTTGTCACCTCTTACGAGACTTTCGACCTCGTCGAATTTGAATGTGTGGCCGGATCTCGTCGAATGAACCGCAACTTGAGTGCTGGCATCATGTCTCCGCACCGCTGCAGCGTGTTCGGCCATTCTCGTTTGGAGCTGTCTTCCGGTTCCTCCGACGTAGTTGCTTTGTCCGCAACTGCACAAGACCCGATAAACTGCTCCAGACGTTTCTTGCCGTGGCAGTGGGTCTTTTGGTTTTATTAAATGACGCCTGATGGTTGCCTCCGGTCTGTGTGCAACTCCAACTCCAAGTGGTGCGAGAAGGCGGCCGACAGCTGCCGAAACGTTCATGACATACGGGAGAGCTCGCCAAAATCTGGTGTCCGGGTGTTTTGCTTTTCTTCCCTTTTGCGTATGCACCGGTTGACGAAGTTGCGCGGGTAGCCATTGGCTTTGAAGACCCGTCGGAGGTATTTTAGTTCGACGATTTTGTCTTCCGGCCCACTGTAGTGCGTTTCGACACGCCGATAGAGCGTCCTTAGACAACTGCGTTTGTGGCTGATTGGGTGGTTACCGTTGAAGTTCAGTACTTGCATCGCATTTTTCGTTTTCTTAAACACTTTGGTCTTTAGGCCACCACAATCTTTCCGGCATACGAGGACATCCAGGAAGGCCAGTTGGCTGTTCTCTTCCTCCTCCATCGTAAACTGTATGTCCGGAAAGACTGCATTCAGATGTTCCTTGAATGTCAGCAGTTGATCCCGTTCGATGACGACGAAGGTATCAGCCACATACCGAGCTCAGAACTTCCGTTTGTGATGTTGGAAGACCAGCGACTAACCGTTGCAGGACCGCCTCGGCGATGAATCCCGAAATCAGCAAACCCATTGGTGAGCCCATCACCTGTTCGTAGATTGTCCCGTCGAATGTAAAGTACGTTTTGAGACAGAACTTCAGGAGCTGGAGGACTTGGGCGCGTCCAAGACGATTCTCCGTTTCATCGTATTTGCTTTGTAGTGTGGCGACTAGCCATCCTGACTGGTCTGGCGTCATTGTTCAAGACAGGGCTGTCTCAAGGTCATTCACCCCATGCAGCGAGCCGTCCCAGACGAGCTTGCCTGAAGTCACAAGACCAACAGCTCGGGCATACCTGCGTCCGCGCAGTCGCAGTTGCCCATGCGGCCACTTGAACGCACCACCCCCTGCAGCCAGCAAAACAAGCCACTGGGACACCACCCCTCGGCAAATGCAACACACGCTGACTGGACACCACTTGAGCTTGGCCCACGAGCCTACAAAAGCGGCTGCCACTACTATCTCAGTGACTCTCAGGCCTGACTGGACGCAGTCAACACCAGCCCTGGCGTCGCCAATGGCCACTGCCGCCTGAGAGGACAACACCGGGTTATGTGCACAATAAATCGCTCATTCTGGTTTCTTCCGTCCTATCTCCTCATTTGGGATCTGATCCGAGGATGGTTGCGCACAGACAAGGACACAGAGTACTTACTCTAGCCACTTAGTCGCTATAGTAGAAGCAGCTCGATCGCCAGGTCCTGGGGAATAGAAGTAAAAGGGGATGTAATATCAAAAGATACTTTGACCTCATTTGGATGGAGGCTTGCCGCTTTGAGTTTCTCTAGGAATTCTGCTGACGAAGAGACTGTGGTGTCTGACTCAGCGGTCAGGAACTTGAGACGCCGGAACAGCCACCTAGCCAGTCCGTACTTTGGAGAACCTTTGAGGGACTCGATGGGTCGGAGAGGAGCGTCGGCTTTGTGCGCCTTAGGGAGGCCATAGAATCGGGCGAATTCTATGGCCTTGGTAATTTTCGGAATTTTCCAAACATCCGAACACTAGCAATTAAGACGTTTTGAGGGACACCAAACTAATAAGACAACATAAACACCTAAAGTCTGCAAACCAGATAATCCATGTCTTCTGAATGGGGTGTCCGCATTTATACTCATGAACTGGACGCCGTGTCAGTCGGGACAGCTCTTCCAGTCGCAAAAGTTATTTGTTCCTCTGCCTCTACCTTCCTGTCTTGTAATGCATCCTAGCGCATGTTGGGATCGTGACATAGTTGCTCGTGGATAGCCCTTCCCTCCACTATGAAGCTGCGAATGATGTGGAGGTCAGTTCCAATAGGATAAATTATGCGGGGTCAGAAATAGCTATGTCAGTCCCTCTTGCCTTTGTAGTTAATCACGATATTTGATTGTGCGTCGACGCGTGATGACCTGCGTGGATCCTGAAGCTTAGCTTCAAGTCATAAGAGGACACACATACATTGATCTGAAGTTTCGATGAAGAGCTCGGTGAATGTCGCGTTCATATGGCCTTTACTATTTGTAAATGCATGGGTATAGAAAAGGGAGACTGTTTTATCACCAGAGCCGTTTGTTGGTTTCCCAGATCTTTCCAATTCCTGCGGGTTTCCATCGTCAGAGATGACAACAGCAAAACAACAGAGGACACTTGGGAAGCCAACTTCTCGGTCGTCAGGATACTTGTCCCAGTCTAGGCTTCTGATGGGAACCCGATCAACCGATATGCTGATCGTGCGCAGTCACCCTTAGGCCTTCGCTACTGGTCGCTGATTGGCCAGTGACCTTCTATAACTGTGTCTGGCGATGGACTCCTGTGCGAGCCAGAAATTTCATAAAAGTGGACAAACGGTTCCGATGCTCGATCGGTCTCTTTCATCCCCTTTCGTTTTTGTTCTTCTCTGTCATGCCCAAAATGATGTGGATCTATGGTCTGAGTTTAGACAATTTGTTCAATGACTA